TCACAAGAAGCTCTTACCTCCCCTCACAGACTCCTGTCTTTTCAAACCAAGACAGAGCCTAAGCCACTGGCAGCTGCTGCTGCAGGAAAGAAGCACAAAACCAAAACCAATCTACAAGTGGACAATGATGATCTGAGGGAAGAACCCTCAAAGCTCCAACAACTGACACAAAAGCAGAATTCACTATTGAATCCTTTTCCCTAAAGGACCTTCGTGCCCTAAGAAAGGATTACACTCAATGGTCTGATGAATCTATAATTAGCTGGTTAGTCTGTCTTTGGGACACTGTAGGCAAGGCTACAAGTCTGGATGGCACTGAAGCAAGGCATTTGGGATCCCTGTCACATGATCCCATCATATCAAAATTACATGTCTATTTTTTTAGTTAGTTACTGTTCCCTTTAAAATGCTTTATTGGATTCTGTTATCTTAAATGCAAAGTTTAACAAGCAGAAAAAAATATGAGATATATTTACAAAAGGAATCTAAAAGTTGTTCCTTGTTGTGAGATACTGACTGAAAGACCTGTACACTGACAACTCAGCTACATGATTAGCTTATGGGGGCAACTCATGAAATAGCCACCATGCAGATGTTTCTCTCAAGCACCTCACTTACTAAGCCCTTGGTAAAAGAAGCGTGCAAACAAAGAACTGGCAACACAACAGGTGACACCCAAAATAATTTGTGATTAAAAACATTATTGTGAAGCCAATAGAAGCTAATAAGGTTATATGTCATACATACGTACTATTATATGCCAACTTCTTTTTCAGGCTAACAGACTTCTGCAGCAATTCTTTCTTGTCAGCTGGAGTTGCTCTTTGCTGGTGGCTGTGCTGTTGCACACAGGGCCACTGACATGGGTAACTTGTATGTTTATGAAAATTCAGAATTTTAGAAGCATATAATGTACTTAGGTGGGTGGAGGAAAACAGAAATATATATAGCTTATTTAGCAAGTTTGCAAAAAGTACAGAACATAGCTTGTAACGGGAATGCAACTTGTTAGGTAGAAACAACTTGTAACAGAACACATAAGAATAGAGCTGCTAGGTAAAGGCCATAAAGATAAAATCTCAGTAAAGCAAAACTCAGGTATTGCTGAAACCCATAAAGCAGAACCCAAACCAGCCAGGACCAGGCTCCTGATTTTGGCCAGGACAAACTGACCTGGGAGAAAGCCAAACCTCCACTGTGCTAGTAAGGAATAAGAAGTCAAGTGGAGAACACTGAGGAAGAAGATCTTACTTCATCAAGAAGACCCCTGCCCACAACCCCCAGGAGGCATGGCACCACAGAAGACTAATTATAATATGAAGCACAAGGAGGTAGAGAGTGGGCAAGGAATGGGTGGACAGGGACATGTGGGCCTGGGGGGATCAATGTGTATCTAAACCTGAAACGTGTCTCACCAGGCACACATGTATGGAGGAGATATCCCCTATGCGTCCCATCTGGTAATCAAACATATCTGCTTTAATTTTAATTGTAAAGTCCTTATTCACCAACTCACCACTACGATGATTAGAGGAATGGAACAACTTTCCTACATGGAAAAGCTGAGAGAATATATTTTTACAAATATATTAACGGCAAAATAAAGGGTAAGACCAACCTTTGCTCTCTACTGGATGCAGGAGGGAACTTAGTAACTGCAGATGAAGAGAAGGTAGAAGTGCTTGCCTCAGTTTTTAGTGGGAAGACAGCTTGTCCTCAGGACAACTGTCCTCCTGAGTTGGTAAAAAGGTGTCAGGGAGCAGAATGGGTCTCTGTTATCCAAGAGAAGGCATTTAGAGAACTGCTGAGCTGCTTGGATGATCCATAGGACCAGATGGGATCCACCCCAGGGTGATGAGGAAGCTGGCAGATGAGCTTGTGAAGCCACTCGCCATCATTTACCAGCAGTCCTGGCTCACTGTGGAGGTTCCAGATGACTGGAAACTGTCCAGTGTGATGCCCATTCACAAACAGGGTGGAAAAGAAGATTCTGGTAATCATAGGCCTGTTAGTCTGGTCTCAATACCCAGTAAGGTAACAGAACAGTTTATATTGAGCATCATCATGGCAGCACTTACAGGATGGCCAGGGTATCAGACCTAACCAGCAAGGGTTCAGGAGAGGGTAGGTTGTGTTTGACCAACATGGTCTCTTTTTATTACCAGGTGACCCACCTCTGGTGGGTGCAGAAAAGGCCGTGGATGTTGTGTACCCTGACTTCAGCAAGGCCTTTGACACTGTGTCCCACAGCATTCCCTGGAAAAGCTGCAGCCCACAGCAGGGACAGGAGCACTCTTTGTTGGGTTAGGAACTGGCTGGGTGGCCGGCCCAGAGAGCGGTGGTGAGCGGTGCTGCATCCAGCTGGCAGCCAGGCACCACTGGCGTCCCTCAGGGCTCTGTGCTAAGGCCAGTCCTGTTCAATATTTTTACTGATGACATGGATGAGGGGATTGAGTCTTTCATTAGTAAATTTGCAGATGACACCAAGCTGAGCAAGTAGGTAAGGTAGGAGAGCTCTGCAGAGAGACCTGGAACAGCTGGATGGATGGGCAGAGTCCAGTAAGATGAAATTTAATAAATCCAAATGCCAAGTCTCGCACTCTGGCCGCAATAACCCCCTGCAACACTCTAGGCTGGGGACAGTGTGGCTGGACAGTGCCAGGCAGAAAGGGACCTGGGGGCACTGGCCAACAGCCGGCTGAACATGAGCCAGCAGTGTGCCCTGGTGGCCAAAAGGCCAATGGCATCTTGGCCTGGATCAGGAATGGTGTGGCCAGCAGGAGCAGGGAGCTCATTCTGCCCCTGACCTGGGCACTGCTGAGGTCCCACCTCGAGTGCTGGGTCCAGCTCTGACCCCTCAATGTGGGAAGGACGTTGAGAGGCTCAAGCGCATCCAGAGGAGTCAACGGGACTGGAGAGGGGCTGGGAACACAAACCCTGTGAGGAACGGCTGAGGGAGCTGGGGGTGCTCAGCCTGGAGAAAAGGAGACTCAGGGGTGACCTTATCACTCTCTACAGCTCCTGAAAGGTGGCTGTGCTCAGGTGGGGTTGGGCTCTTTCTCCAGGCAGCACTGACAGAACCAGAGGACACGGCCTCAGGCTGTGTCAAGGGAAATACAGGTTAGATATTATGAAAAAGTGTTTTACAGAAAAGATGATAAAGTTCTGGAATGGCTGCCCGGGGAGGTGGTGGAGTCACCATCCTTGGATGTGTTCAAAAAGATTGGATGTGGCACCGCGTGCCATGGTTTAGCTGAGGTGCTGGGGCATGACTTAGACCCTGATCTTGAAGGGCTCTTCCAATCTTGTGATTCTGTGATTCTGTCATTGGGACTGTTCAGCCTGGAGAAAAGAAGGTCTCAAGATGACCTAATTGTGGCCTTCCAGAACTGGAGGTGGCCTACAAAACCTGGACAGGGACTTTGAACAAGGGCCTGGAAAGACAGGACCAGGGGGAAGGGCTTCACACTGACAGAGGCCAGGGTTAGACTGGATATTTTGAGGACGGTGATGCCTATATAAATAGCTTGAATTATAAGATATCAACATAAGCTGATAGATTTTTATAACCTGATATCAATATAATGGGAATCATAGCTTTTTATATCTATATAACCTGATACAAATAACTTTTTACACAATTTAATGGCTAGTATATGGTTAACTAGTTGCTTAACAATGAATAGACTAAAAAGAAGAAAAAAATCACCAGGTAGATAGTTTTAGAGATAGACAACTATAGTACTAACGAGAAATCGGCAAATGTAAAGCCAATTAACCACAAAACACAGAATTTAGGACCACACAGACCAAAGACCACCCTAACTGCACATGCTCCAAAGACAAAGTTGAAAAGTTCAGGTGCAAAGAAGACCTTTGAAGCCTTCATCGAAGACTCCCTGTGAAAACTGTTTTTGCGATTTTTGTCAGTTGGCGATGTGGGGCGGGAGTACGGCAGCGATGGAATCACCAAATGCTTGTATCTGCTGTGTCAAAGGGGAACACATTCCCTGGGATAACTACAAAGAACAGTTTTGAAACTTTCTGACCAAATAGCCAAATAAAGCATCGAACAAGAAAACAGAAGTATAGTAAAGAGATGGGGTAGCAAAACAATTGATGCTTAGAAAAAATTAGATGAAGTTGTGGTAGAGCTAAGGGATATTACAACAAAGCAACTAAATGCTTATGTATAGTAAAAAGCTTGATGCACTTGTACCAGACTAAAATTAGGTAACAGACACTGGCGAAAGGCCTCCCTCCAGACAACCACAAGGACTGGAAGTCAACAACCATGTGGAAAGATTATGAAAATGCTGATCCCAGCTTATTGATATTGGCTGATTTGGACTAACACAAGCACACTGGAAAATGCTTTGTAGAGTTTACACCAGTACATATACTCTGGTGAACTTGTAGTGGCGTGTGCCGCTAGCGGAGCGGTGACTCCCTGGTGAGTGGACGGTGACACCCAGCTCTGCTTGCCTGCTTTCTTTAAAGTAAATGATAAAAAATAAAATTTGCTTTGTCTATCTAAATTTTATATCAACCCGACGACCCCCAAAATGAGGAGACGCAGGCATCGTGCAAAAGGACTGACAACCATGAGGTCATACTAAGTAAATTACTTCTGGCACGTATGTTACGCTGATATAGTAGCACTAAGCAGTACTTACTGTACAAACACACCACAGCACTTGGCAAGGGTGGGCGAGTTAGGCGGAGATCTCCTGCTCACCACCAGCGGGCCGGGCCAGGCCCCGCCGCTGCCATTTCCAGCGCCTCGCTCCGCCCCTTCCCCTCCGCTCCCGCCGCCCCGCGCGGGGCCAATGGGAAGCGGCGGCGGCAGCGCCCCCTCCTGCCAGCGGCGGAGCGAGCGCAGCCCCGGCGCAGCAGCCCGAGCGCCCCTCAGCCCTCACAGCGCCGCAGCCGCCGGCAGCGCGCGTCTCGGTCCGCCCCGAGCGCCGGCCCGCCGCTCCCGAGCCCGCCCTCCCACTCACCCGCGCCGGGCGCCGGTAGCCCGGCCCTTCTGTCTGGAGTCGCCGCACGGCTGCGGGAGGGACGCCGCGGCGGCGGAGGCTGTTGCGCGGGCTCTCGGCGCTGCCGGGCTGCCGCGCTCCTCGCGCGCGCTGTCGGGCCGACCCCAGCGCCGCGCCGCGCCAGGCGGGGGACGGGGGATTGGCTCGCGCAGCCGCGGCGGCGCAGGCGGCCGCCCGCGGGGGCCGCCGGGAGATGTAGTCTGCGGGCCGGAGCTCCCGCCGCGCTCCGCGCCGGGGGCCGCGCCGGGCCTGCCCCTGCGCCCCCGCTGCCGGCCCGGCCGGGAGCCAGGAGCGCCCGGGCCCCGTGCGCGGCCCCGGGCCCCGTGCGCGGCCCCGGGCCCCG